GTTCGGGGTTCAGGGCTTGGGGTTTAGGGCAGACCTTCTGGGCAGAGAGACGGAGCTCCCGTTCGACGAAGCAAGCGCGCTGCAACGGGCTTTGTTGAATGTCGCGGTGGTAGTGGCTGTGATCACTGCCACTCCTGCTTCTGCTGCAACAACAACAACAACAACTACTACTACTACTACTACTACTACGACTACGACGACTACGACGACTACGACTACGACGACGACGACGACGACGACGACGGCGACTACTAATATACCACAACTGCTGCTACTACTAGTTCTGGCTGGCTATCACCAGGAGAAACTGGTACAAACTCCGGTGGAGGACACCCGGTCTGAATCTATCGGAACTGCGGTGGGTCTAGGATTTTGGGGTTCGGGTGTTCAGGCAAGATTTGCGTTCAGGATGTAGTAATCAGCGATTAGGATTTGGGTTTAGTGTAGGGCTTCCAGATGGAAGCTGAAAATTCCCACTTTGTCCCAGTATGCCTCTAGAAGTGTATATTTACATGCAGGTAAGAGCCCGGGCATGTGTTCCGAAAGATCTGGCATGAGCGCTTGCACGGAATATGATGTTTGTAATATAGGGGCCTGAATAATTACCTATATTATTCCTTTTGCTTATTTAGTATAACTATACTATGAAGGAGGCCAAAACCCTATTCTAATTCTTAAGGCCCCTACATTAGCTCCAGAAACGCGTGGCTAGACGCAAACCCAGGAAATGCACTCTGCACCTCGTGGCATCCTTAAGTCCTTTACCTCCAAAAGGCTGATGTTTAGGGTTTAGGGCTTCCCTGAAACGCCCAATCAAGAACACAGCTCCCTCTGTCGATTCCTCAACCCTCATGCCTTATAACTTATATTGAAACGTGCTTTAACGGCCCTCACAAGATTTGTAGTGTCATATATAGAACCCCATGAACTAGAATGGATCTCAGGTTCTCGAAGCATGCATGCAGCAGCGGGAGCTTTCCAAGGACGCTAGGATCGGTTGCCAAGCCTGGAGGTCCCTTTTAAACCCTTAGAATTTGGTTTCCGATTCTATGCGTTGCATACAAGTTCGCAACAGGTTTAGTTTATTATGTGACGGGCGTTTATTGTTGTTCAGGGTTTGAGGGTTTGAGGCTGTTGGTCATCTAGTATGGTATAGTACAGTATAGCGCAGTATGGTCCCCGAAGTCTGTAAGCTTGAACCCCAATTGCGAACCGGCTTGTCCGAGAGTGAGTGCCGAAACTAAGCCTCCAAACCCCTTCGTGTGCCCATTATATTGCTGACTTCCTAACTCAGCTTTCTTGCAGCCCCTTTCCCGAAGAATCGTGTACTCCCGAAAAATTATGTACCATCCTGAACCCAGGTGCTTCGTACCGTTAGTGCTTTATGGTACCTAAGCCCTTTTCCCTGAACTCGAAGACCCCTAAATTCCTAAACCCTAAGCTTGGACCCTTACAGACCCGCCAGCCAGGAGAAGCAACGCCAACTGCTGGACCTGAAGACAGCTCTCGCCAGGCGAGTTTAGCGTGTACTATGCTATACTAGAACTTTGTACTACATTATAGTATACTATTCTAATTTGCACTCTACTGTTCTATACTATACTATACTGTACTTTCTTGTGATATACTGTGCCAGACTGTACTATACTAGACCAGGCTATACTAGACTAGACTATGCTAGACTATAAACGAATATACAACACTGTACAATCCCATTCCATACTACACTATACTCTACCATACTATGCTGTACATGGGTGAACTTCAGGTTTCGTGTGTAGGAGCCTGGCCATTGTATAGCTGTTCCGGACTCACTCGATGTTAGGATTTAGGGCATTCGTATGGCACCTGTAATCGGGAGAATTAGCAGAGTCGTTTGCACGTCTTTGTGTCTGTAAATGGGTAGTGCTCTTGCAGAGTTTAGGTGCGCCTTGGTTGTTTCAACAGTCTTTCTCAAGACGTTCGGCACTCACCCTGGGCTTCATGTCAAATGTTGCTCTGTTCGGCGGTTTCTGTTTGACTGCCCAATGCCCAAGAGGTCGGGGTGTAGCAGCCCAAGCGGTTACACAATCGATCATGAATCGGCTTAGGGTGCAAGTCGTGACGGGTCAAATTCGAATCTCCCCTACACTATATCTGAATCCCTGCAGCCGTGAAGCACCAGGTTTGAGGTTCGGCCTAGAACCGCACATGCCTGAACAAAAGCCTGGCTTTCCTCCCCTCCCCTTTCCCCGCCCCCCCCCCTTAGGGTTTTAGGGTTTAGGGTCCCCCCAACATGCTCTGAAAGGACGAGCCGTCATGGCCACGACATGACCAGTGGATATTCCCACGAGCCGCAGCAGCTGAACGAGGAGCTGCCAGAAGCGTAAGACCTGCCGGAATCCTTGAGCCAGAACCCCAGACCCTAACACCCAACCCTAAAACCCTAGTTAGCATACGGTTAGGATCAAGTAACATAGAAGGCTCAATAATTACCAACATTATCCATTTGAGCCTTAGAGTCCCTCATCATGTTCATGGTATAGTCTACCTCAAAACACTCTTCTCGCATCAGACTTCTGTCCGTGCGACTTCAAAACCCTATTCAAAAAATGCAGGCCCTTATACCCTAAACCCTAAACCCTTATTCTGGATAGAGACTGCAAGTTGTCTCCGGGTCTGTTCGAGGAAGAAGCTCGGAAGGTCAAATTCCTTCAAGCCTGTGTGGATGCCAAGCCACTGAAGAAAGACTGCGCGCCCGAGCTGATCTAGAATGCTTGGTAGGAGTGTAGGTAAGCTAAACCTTTTCGGCGTGCTATGCTGGTCTGGGAATAGTAGTAGCGTTTGGGATTCCAGGGTTTCGGGTTTAGGGTTGCGCATACTACGGCTCATGGTGATGTCAGTGATGATGTTCCGTCCGTGTTGCTGGTGCTTCTTTGGTTGTGGCGAGTGCCGTTCTTCCCGTCTCGGCGACGTCGTCGTTGCTGTTGCTGTTTCTGTAGTTGCGACGGGGCTTGCCGTCGTAGTTGTTCCGGGAGCTTGCCAATGGCGATCGTCATGTTGGTGACAGTGGTGTAGTCGATTCAATCTGCGTTTGTTGTTGCTCTTATTAGTGGCGACAGAGCGAGGCTGATTTTGTCCGGTATCAGAAAGAAAAGATGTGGACCATCCACAAAAACTTAAACCCTAAACCCTAAGAAGTATCAGGTAACCCATGTTCGAAGTGGCAGCAAGGATAAGAAGCATGGTTGCGTTAGAGCCAGTCCGACTCCCAGAAGCCCCAATCCAAGGATCAAGAACAGCACCGTAATGTAACGGGCCTAAACAATTACCTACACTATTTTTGGTGGTTCCTTACTATAGTTATGGTAGAATGGGCCCACATTCTAAATCATTAAGGCCCCTACATTAAACCCTAAAAAATAAGGTCAGGGCCTACCACACGACCACCTACAAAGCTGCTGCCGCCATGCTGGCGGAGGGATGTCGGCCAAGCACTTCCTACAACTGGCTTTCAGGCTGGACCATCCTACATAGGGGCTGAGTAGGCAATTTTTCACGCGTTGGGGTTTATTCTATACTATACAACCCTAAACCTTAAACCCTCGGCTCACTTGCTGTTGGTACTGAGCCAGAAGAGGACACTCGGTGCTAATTCCAGGGCCTCGGAGTTCTGTTACTGTCTTCAGGGCTCAGGGGTAGTTGAGAGACGAGCTTGAGGCTTAGGGTTTAGGGTTCAGGGCTTAATATAGGGGCCTTAATAATTTGAATAGGGTTTTCTTGCCCATGTATATTCTATAATCATAACAAGGACCCCCCACCCCCCACCCGCCCAAAAAAAAAGGATGGGTAGTTATTCAGGCCCCTATAGTAATTTGTTTGGTAAAAGACCTCGACGTCTGAGCCCGAAGCTGCGAAGCAGGAGCTGCCGTATAGGCCCGAAGACCAGAGACATGAGTCAATTACCTTCTTATACTATAGCTGTATAGGTTTCTAGAATGTTATAGACTATAACCTACCAGAAAAGGTATACTAGAGCTGTATAGGTGTATAGAGTGTTATAGACTATAACGTAACAGAAAGCCATAGTATATTGCACTATATTGTTTTATCTCCCCCCTGCAGGGCGGAGCCTCAACGATGAGCGCTTCTTTTGTGTGACGCTCCTGAGCCCGATTGCCTTTGGCTTCCCACAAGGCCTTGGGAGAGGTTGAGGGTTTGGGGTGTAGGTAGGCTCGCTTCCTTGAGACCAGTCAGAGGAATGCCCTGAGCTCTGCAGCTTGTGACAAGATAGCGTAAAGGCTTTTGGGGCTTGTTTCATGTTGCAGTTAGATCGTGGCGTAGTAATGTAGTATTGAGAATTACAATGGTTGGTCCGCTAGTATGCTGAGCTTAGATAGGAGTCTGCTTGGGAACAGGGCCCAAGAGACATGTCATCCCAAGCTGCAACTCGCAAAGTCCCAGGCATGGGCTTGAACCGCAGCTGGATGCCTCATATTCATCGCAACATATGTAGCAGCACTGAAAATGCACAATGTCCTTTTCCCGGATCCTGAAGGCTGCAAGGGCACAGACACTATCACACACTAGCCACCTACGGTTTTTGTAGTTTGAAAGAGCAGTGTCAAAGCCCATCTAAACCCTAAGCCCTAAACCCCGGGGAAAAGGGACCTTTTCCAAAACAACAACCGGGGCCCAGCTTTGAAGGCCCGAGGGAGTCTGAGGCTCAAGGCCTTTGATTTTCTCTGGCTTGCAGGAGTCCCAGAGCCGCCCTCACCCCCCGGACACACATTCTGCATGGCATATATGCATCTATATTCTTTATATATATATATATATATGTATGTATGTATATATATATATATATACTTATTTATCTAATTATTTATCTTTATTATATGTATATATGTATAAATATCTATATCTATCTATATATATATATATATTTATAGAGCATATCTCTGTCTTTGCTTGCCTGGGTTGGTTGTGAGTTTGTTAGGCTGTAGAGGTTTCCGTTCCAAGAGCATGAGAAGCCCCGGAGGCGAGTGGAAGAGGCGGATGCTCCTCAACAACTTTGGGAGGGAGGCGCCTTGAATGCGGAGAGGGGGTTTAGGGTTTAGGGTTTAGGGCAGGGTCGCTGAGGTCTGTGGGCGTAGGCCTCATTGATAAGGGCTTAGGGTTTAGGTCTATGGCCGGCCTCATTGATGAGGGAAGGTCTTTCCCGATTTCCTCCGCGTAGATAGATCCGATGCATGGATGGATGATGGATGGCTGCCTAGCTGCGTGGATGGATGGATTGATGGATGCACGGATGGATGGATGGATGGTTAATAATGGGTAGACAGATAGACAGACAGACAGACAGACAGACAGACAGACAGACAGACAGACAGACAGACAGACAGCCATATCGTTGGACAGACTACTTGCAGTTACTTGCAGCTTGGATTGGTTTGGCTTTGCTTAGGTTAGCTTAGGCTGCCTAAGGTTTGGACTAGCTAAGGGTAGCTTAGATTGGGTTGAATCAGATTAGATCGGTTTTGACGGATAGATAGATAGGTAGATAGATAGATGGGTAGGGTAATCCCCCCTAAGCCCGTGTCCATTCACCCAACCCTCCATTGTACTGTCACGGTGGGTCGCGTGAGTATTTGGTAGTCATAGCTATGGCCAATATGGCTCCGGACTCGTCACTCTTTCTCGCGTTTCACCCAGAATTCAGTGCTTGAGGTACGTCTTAACCAGACTTTGCACCTTCGCAAAGAAGAAAGAAGTCATAGCTCTCTGAGAATACCGAGCCAGACCCCTTAAGTTTGAGGATCCAGCCGATAGAAGCCCGAAAACTTCATCCCAGCAATTTACGGGTTGAGACCGGGCTTTGTTGCAAAGGCCATGTTTTGGAATCTTCCAGGGGCATCGGGGAAGCCTCTTGGCTGCTTTTGAGAGGACGGATAAGCGGGGACCTGACCCCCATCGCAAATAGATTCATTCCCTCTTGATGCGTTGTGCTATTCATCTCTTATACTATCTTTATTTTATGTTATATTATATTCTAAAGCTTATTCTACTCTACTGTATTAGATTGTGTACTGACCGAGAGCTTGGAAGAGTCGGAAGAGCGGGTGAGTTTTTAATCCCATAAGCCTTGGACCCTTAAAGCCCCTACAGCGCCCAACCTCAAACCTTGCAGCCCCAAGGCCCTAAACCCTAAACCCTAAACCCTAAACCAAACCCCTTCTCGGAGGCCGGAGGAGATGAGGGTTCACCCAAGAGCTGCCGGAGTTGCTGCTCGGCTTTTGCCGAAGACTCCCGGGGTTTACGACAGGTCTAAGATGTTCTATGTCTTTGAGGTACCCTCCAGTAAAGGTTCGCATCTTTGTCCGTGCCCCAAATTCGTATGTCACAAAGGCAGAGAGGGAAGTAGCCGAATCTTGCACGGTAGATGCTGAACATCATCCTTGCCAGGCATTCCCCGAGTTGTGAGAGTCAGCATGACAAGAGCTTCCAAGACGGAACTATCCTACAGCTGCTTCCTCCGAACCTGGCAGAATGTGGGATCCTATTGGGTATGCTCTGCTGCTATCTCACCTGCCCACCTTGCAGCATTCAAGGTTCTCAAAGTAGATCGGGGTTTGGGGCTAGGAATTACGTCGGAGCCCGAACCATCGAGTTCCGACTCGAGGCAAAAGCACACGGAGCAATAGCAGCGACTGGGTGCGGGAGCAACGCGCTCAAGTTTGCCTGGTGGTGGACGTCCCAGTGCCCTTGTTGCATGGATAAAGGTTGTGAGGTTGAGTTGATGGTATTCCCTTCTAGTCGCTCAATAGATCTGAAACAGTAAACCACAAACATGTATTCCTATTATCAAGAGCCTTATGCTTACCTATACTATTTTGGGGGACCCAGATTAGTTATTGTATGATGGGCCCCAAAACCTTATTCTAATTACTGAGGTCCCTACATATTACAATCCCGTGGAACCCTAGAAGCCCCTATAACTTCATAGCCCTATACACCCTAACAAACCCTATAACTCTACACCTTAGATGCCAATCCGGTTATATCATACCCGCGCTCAGGTGCCCTCGCTGCGAGATGCGCGGACGGCGCCAGAGCAGCGCCACAACGAGAGCATCAGGTGGGGCGACCTTGGAAGACGCTAACGGGTCAGGGTTCTGGGCAGTTGAGGTTTTGGGTCCAGGGTTATGGCCCCAATGTAGGCTTTAAGGGTCACTCCTAAACCTTAAGCCTGAACCCTTTGGAGGGTCAAGTTAAGGTTTTTCTTCTCAACTCTTGAACTCTTAGGCGTTAGGGGTTTGGGCTATCGGGTGTAGGGTTTAGAGTTGCAGCATACCCAAGGGCTGCTATGTAGTTCCATTTTGGATAGTATACCATAATTCCTTACCAAAAAATCATAACAGACCCAAAAAGGAACTACATTGGAGCCCCTGGGTACTGTAGAGTTATGGATTATGGAGTTCCGGCTTTTGGTTCTAAGGGTTTGGGGCTTGTAAGGGTGAAAATTCAGGGCGGCAGGGGGGGGGGGGGGGGGGGGGTATCCTTAAACCCTAAACCAAACCATAGACGGGCCCCCTTGACTCCGAACTGCCGCAATGTGATGTCGTTTTGGAGCCGAGTTGTCCCTGCTTGTATCAGGTCTGAGAACCGGAATGTGCACTACATCCCTGCGACTTGGAAAGGAAGAAGCAGCATATAGCGACATTACGAAGGTTTGCGATCCTATCTGAGTCTAGATACCTATGCTATTTTGGGGGTTCGTTATTATTATAATAAAGTGTTATTATTATTATTATTATTGTTATTATAACTATAATAATTATATTGGGCCCCAAAGCCCTCTTCTAATTGTTAAGCCCCCTACAGTACGGTTTCGGGAGCTGAGGAGAGCTTTCTGCAAAACATGGGCGTGCATGCCCTGCCGGCGGACAGCATTGTCTATGCCTTCCAGTTGGAGGACAGCAGGTGAAAGCTAAGGCGAGTTGCGGCGAGTTCCCGAAGGCAATATAGGGCCCGTTATCTTCATCACTCTACTCTTACTCCCATCTTGTATTACAAGATGGGACTCCCAGGAATAGTACTTGGCGCTGTACTGTTTAGGCTGCTAAATCCGTGTTTGAGTAGGACCTCATCGCGAAGCACCGGCTTCGGTTCTTTGGCTTCAGGGGCAGTATCCTAGAGTGCCGAGCTCATCTCTCGCCTCTTGCTGTAGGAACCCATCTTTGTCTAATTCGCGCTCCACTCAAGGCTTGACTTCAATGTACGGCTTGCAGCTTTGTACCCTGTATTTAAGTAGTCTGTATACGGCCGCCATGATAGAAACGGTTGGCGTTTTCGGGCCAGGGATCAGCGACTCGAAAACAGACCATGAAGCGCGAACTCTCATGACAAGGACATCCCCACCGAGGCAGTCGATCTGAGTGATCTTTCTCCTTCAAAAGCGCAGCTGGGACCAAGAATTAACGGTTTTGATCTCCTGTGATCTGGCATGATAGGATACTATTGGATACTTACTTGTTAAAGCAACAACAAGCATGATACACAAACAAGTGCGTGTATATATGTGTCTATACACATACAAACATATATCTATGAATGTTACATACAAACCGACATGCATCCTTGCATTCATGCATACATGCATACATACACACATACACATACACCCCCCGGCATGTGTACATACCTGCGTGGATGTGTGCCCATACGCCAGCGTGGTTTGGAGCTTAAAACTTCTCGTTAGAGACCTCCCCAGAAGCTTGCATAGGGTTGCTCGAAGGGTGGCTATGATGTGCCGACTGCAGTTTCGTTTTCTCAGGGCCTGTGCATCGTCAGGACACTTCAGGGCAGACAGGTGCGACGTGAACATGGGGGGGAGCAAAATTACGCAAGTCAGTTTGATGCCCTGTTGAGACTTTAACACTCGCAAAACATGCATCTACGGTTTTTGTCCACAACACCTGCTTAACTGCGGATCATGCCATCACCTTTGCAAACCCCAACAACGCCGCGCTGGCGGCACTGCCCGCATGCAAGGTTCGACTTCGCGGCGAAGGTGCAACCACGGGTGGCAACTGGGATTTTCCTCATGACTAAGAGGGTTTCGTGAGGAGTTGTTGAGGGGTTCATCAGGGGGTGACTATAGGATTGAATAGGAGGTTTTCCAGGGTAATCTTGTGTTTGTAATATTTTGTAATTAAGGTTTTCTGTGTTTGTTTGAGAATGTGTCGTAGGCTTGAGGGCTTAAGGGCTACATTTTCCGTATTTAGTGGTTCGGGCTTCAGGTTTTGGATTCTTGGAGCTTCCTATGATGTTTAAGCTGTTGTTGAGGGTTTAGTTTCACGTGCCCATGTCCCATCGATTGGACGGCTTTGGCGATCAACTTCTGCAGTTGGCGTCCGACTTGGTAGTAGTAGTTTCAGACTGTCTTGCCATAAGTTTGTAGTTCATCTTAAATCCAAATATGCCCTGATCCTGACCTCCCTTGTTAAACGTCAGCTCCTCAATCCAAAGTTTTCGTAGCCCATAGCCGCCCTAGCCGCTTAGCCCTAAACCCTACTCACCTACGAGACTGGATTGAATTTGTTTTTTTTGTTCAGGGCTGCGGAGAGCCTAAGCTCGAGTCCTGTGTCAGGGGTTCAGGGTTTCTTGGGGCTTGGGCCTGAGAGTTTGGGCTTGTGATATAAGTTTTGGGTATAGGGTTTAGGATTTAGGGTTTAGGGTTTAGGATGTAAGGTTTGGAGTTTAGGGTTTAGGGCGAAGTGGAAAGCCTGTTGCACAAAGGGCTTGGCGGCACTTCAGAGAGACCTCGTCCAAAAAGGGTTTAGGGTGGACGTTCTTGCTTGCAAGCCTGCAGCAAAAGGGTGGGTGAAGTTCAAAAAACCCTAAACCCGAAACCCTAAACCCGCAAAAGCGTTGGCGAAGTTCGAACTGTTGAACCGCACCTGTGCAAATCCGAGGACAAGGCGGCAAGGGACCTTGATCTTTTCGAGCTCGCGTGGCTATTGGAGCTGGGTGGCAAGATGAGACACACGGAGCGTGACCACGTCTGCCAGATCCTGAACGTGTTTCTGGGCCAAGTCGTTCCAGGGACTGGCTTCCGTGGATGTTCGGATAGTTCTTCGATGTCCAGCAGCTGTCTTGTTTTTTGGGGGATGTTGGCTTCCGTGATTGTGAGGCGGACCCGACCGCAACACAAAATCCTAGCAGCCCGCACTACAATCCGGCATGCAACCCTACAAATGTCGCAAAAACCCGAAGTAACAAGGTTTGCAAGGCACACCGCGAACCCCGGCGGGTTGAAGTTCGGCATCTTCGACGGCAAGTCGGCGTGGAAGGCGACGGTCAGGGTGTACATGGAGCTTTCCACAAATTAGGGGATAGGATGATCCTATAAGGCACCACCAAACAGGCACTCTAGTGGAGACTAGAGGTAGGGTTAGTCAGTCGAGATGATTGCAGGCCGTGGTCTGGCTAGACTTGAGCTCAGTCGCAAAAAATGTTTATTCGGGCTCGGGTTGAGGGGTGAGTTTATGATATAGGGTATAGGGTTATAAGTTCTATCATAAAAGCCCTGTGTCATTCAATTCGCCTTTGCTAAGTTTTACTAATCCGGTGTTCTCTGGCTCCGTGTCTTAGGGCCCCTGGCGTATAGTTGAGGCTGGGGTTTCCAAACCCTAAACCTTTTGGTTTCTTTGAATCGGCTGGGTGGAAGTAGGTCGGATAGGAGGTGGTCCTTGGAGCCCAAGCCGTTTTCCTGCAACAGGAAACTACGTTTGGCAGACTACAGTAGGGGAGCAACAAAGGCATGTGCCGAATTATCCTAAACCCCAAAACAGTTAGCATAGGGGATGCCCGTTTTGGATAATTACATCACCGTTAACCAAATTAACACCCCCCCACCAGCCCAGCTGTCTATTCCAAGCTGTAAAGGCCAGGGAGTCTGGCTTGTCATTGGCAGACATGAAGCAGATCTTCTGGCGTTGGGTCCGCGACGGCAACTTCGACATGCAGGAGCTTTTGCTGAGTCTACGCTTGTTCGGACTATGGGGGGTTCTGTGGGTTTCCAGAGGTGCAAGCCGGCTTGGAATGGTTTCATGAAGATTTGGGATTGTGTTTGGGTTCTCGAACACACCTGAAAGTTGAAACTTTCAATCCCGGGCGTGGCACGAACTTTCAGGTTTACACTTGGCCCCTGAGACCATAACTAGGCTTGTGAGGGTTGGTAGAACCGGATCTTCGGATGGACTCGCCTTAGATCATGCTTGCATACCCGCTGTCTGTGGGTGTTTCATCTGGCTGTTCGAGTGCATATGACTGCTTTCTTAGTGCGCTTCACCATGTCCAGACCATCGTAACAGTCTGCACCGGACTTGTCCGAGTGCGAGTGTCGAAAATTTCAAGAATCAACAATCTACACCCCGGCTCTCCGCCAACACCGCCCAACAGTTCAAAGCAAACAGGCCCCCACGCTTGCGCAGGACCTTCTGCAAGCTGGATGCCCTCTTACCGAGTTTCGAGACTCGCACAACTGGCACCTTCCGAGTTGGCAATGTATGATGCAGGGTTCTGAACAAATAATAAGAAAAGCCCCTCACAGCCCCGACTAAAGCTACATAAATGCACTATGATATGGACTGCACTCCAAAGCTCCATTGACATGATCTAAGGCCCCATTTGATGGAATTTCGTTGCAGTCCTGAGCCAACCCAAGCCTGTAAATCCTAGACCCTATGCCCTACACTGCCCTAAACTCTAAAGCCCACAAGACATCGAGAAGTGCACCCCAGCCTCTGAACCCCAAAGCAAAAAACAACACCCTAACCCCAACCGACCCAAAACCCTGAAACCCGGAACTGCTCACGATCAAGGAGAAGCCGGCTGGAAAGCCTGCTCACTGAAACAGCAGGGGCTGTTTGATGCTGCGGAGCTCCGAGGTGCGAATTCGCGGGGTGAGGCTTCGGAATAGTCGTGTTCATGTTTGTTTTGGCAATAGACAGTATGTGTGTGCTTCGAGTTTGAGGGGCGTGCAGTCTGCCTTTGGACTGTGTAAGGCTCATCGGCTTGAGGTTTCGGGCGCGTGAGAAGGGAATGGTGTTTCAAGCCGCGAGACTACGCCATACTACGCTCCGACCTGATCCTTAAACCCAAATCCGCGATCGCGGACGTTAGCAAATATCAGAAGCGCACAATGTCCGTCGTTGTTCTTCTGACCGCCGAAAGACAGCTGCAGGTGCTGGCTACACTGCTCAAGAGCTGAGGGAAGCGAGCTACAGCAGCGAGGAGCCCCAATCGAAAAACAACATTTTCATGTCGTTGTGATTATGATCCTTGCAACATTTTTTGTTATTCACAGGCTCTAAGACTCCGTGGTTCTTATTACTTCCATTACTGTGATTGTTAGTAGTATGCTTGTTGAAATAGTTGCAGCCATTATTCGTAGCCTCATTGTTAAAGGATTGTCATTCGTAATGGTTGCCGCTGTCAGTATAATTCGTAGCAAAAGTCTAGATCATTAAAGGAACTAGTATTCGTGTTATTGTTATCATTATTTTCTTCATCTTATCAGCAGCCTTTGGGTTATTACTATCATCATCATCATCATCATCATCTTACAAATCACCGGCTGCATTCTCCCAGGGGGTCCAAACGCACAGTTTTTAGGTACTGGGTTTGGGAGAAGGGCAATGTAGGTAGGTATCTGGGGAGTAGATGTTGACTAGGTGCTTGGCCTCGCAGGGTTCCGCGTTAATTCGAGCTGTATCAGCCTTGGAATAATCAAGAGCCGTCTACAGCGGTTCATGGTAGTTGAACATACCCATAGGCCCCATAGTAGTTCGTTTCTTGGATTACCTACAAGGATCTTATAATACAAGCCACAAACAGGAACTACTATGGGGCCTATGGGTAGTGGGTGGCAGTTAAATAGCTGAAGAAAGGTAGCTTTCGCATCTCAATTCCCCTCCAATCCGGCCAAGGAGCTGCATGCTGGCGGCTACACTCTGGAAGAGCTTCAAGCGGGCGGCTGCACCCCCAAGGATTCAACTGGGCTATTTCTACGGGGATACTGAATGTATCTTGCTTATTATTGTTCCTCTCAAAAAATCCACATGAAGTACAACACCACCGCGACGATGAGGAGGACTCCTATTTCCATGGCCGCTACAACAACAACAACAGCAACAACAACAACAACTACTACTGCTAGCACCACTACTACTATCACAACTACCTCTACCACTACCACCGACCACTACTTCTACTCCTCCTCCTGCTGCTGCTGCTGCTGCCAGTGGCCGTGCAGGGCTTCGCGGTTTCGGGAGGACGTGCGTGGGCTCGGCTACTCCTTGCAGCAGATGCGCACAGCCGGGTACACGGCCGAGCAGCATCTCGCCTGGGTGTGTGGGGCCTTGCTTTTCAGGACCTAGACCTCAGCGTTTAGGGTCTAAGTCGAAGTGTTTGGAGCTTTCAGGTTTAAGCGTTTCCAACCTAAGCCCTCACCCTCAAGCCAACGGCACCGAGCCACTCCCCGAGCATGACATCGATGGTTTGTGGGCCGCAGGGCTTGTAGATTTCACGGCCTGGATCTATCAAATTCAGTGCTACAGGGCTTTAGTATCAGGAATTGCGGGATGTACGTTGTTTGCATTTGTAGCTGATTGGCCGAACAAGCCACCTCGCCAAAATAAGCCCCTAGCTGGAGAATGAAATCATCCTTGAGGGTTATGCTGCCCTAAAGCCTAAACCCGAAACCCTAAACCCTAAACAACTTAAAACCGAAGCCTGAAACTCGGAAGCCAAGGCTGCGTGCTTGCGGGTTCCCAGCAGATCAGCTGCGGGAGGGAGGTTGCATGCGCTCAGCTTCCCTGTATGAGGGTTTCAGGCTTTCTGGGTTGAGGATTTGGGGCTTTTGCCATTGAGTATTTGAATGCACGGTTCGTGTCATATGTTCAGGGCGTAGCATCCGGGGATTTGAGGCAGTAATGATACTGTTCGGGCTTGAGAGTGTCATTGCAGCACTACTGACAGGTTTGACATTTGGAGACAGGTCGGTAAGACTGAGACAGCTTTCATGCACACGACTCCAGTAAGGGGGTACCCACATCTAGAATGAAGTTCTTCATCATCAACCCAAGGCAGCAAACATCCTAACCTCCGCCGTGGCACTCGCCTATATCTTGCACCAGGCAGTGATTATGATGATGGTGGTGATGGTGATGATTATGATGACGACGACGATGATGATCATGATGAGGATGATGATGACGATGATGATGGATGGTGATGGTGGTGATTCGCTATAACCGTGGTTGTGTTTTGGAGCGCTGTGGGTTCCTCGAACCCCTTCATCCCTCGAGCTCCTCCCCAGCAATGCGAAGGCTACAGAGCAGGGGAGCTGCGAGTGGCAGGCCGTGGTTTAGGGTTTAAGGTTTGAGTTTGGCGGCGCTACTTCCCAGATGCAATAATCTGGACGTGCTGCTTCCCAGCTGATTGGCAGAGTCTGGGTTCAAAAAGAAGGTATGGGGTTTAGGGCGACTGTCCAGCCAAGTTCTTTGCCTTAGAATTCAGGGATTGGTGGGGTGCGGACTTGGGGTCGGGTGCGGGGGGGCAGAGGTTTGGGGTTTCTGGTGTAGAATTTCGGGATTGGGGTTTGGGATTGAGGCTTTCTTGAACGATTCCAGTGTCGAGTCGGGGTCAAGGTTTGGGATCCCGGGCCGAAGTGTAGGGTTTGAGATTCGAGAACCTTATCTCCGAAATCAAGAAAGAGGCTACTCTATCCTCCAGCTGCGAACCGGCGGCTACACCGTCCAGGAGGTGCTGCGTTTACTGCCTCATGGTTTGTCGTAGGGGTGAGGGATCGCAGGTGAAGGGTGTAGTAAGTTTGCTTGCTAGTTCCTGTGAAGGAAATTGTTTGGGGTAGAGTTCTTGTTGGCATGCTTACCCACAATCTAACCAGCCAGCCGACCCACATCCACACCCGCACCCACACTCATACCCACACCCCCACCATCCCCCAACCACACCCCCACACCCCCACCACCCACCCACACACACACCCACACACCCACCCACACACACACACACAACACAGAGGCACACACGCACCACTTTGAAGAAAGCCTTGCTGAAGTGCTTGAAAGCTGAACACCGAACCCAAAAGCCTCAAATCCTAATCCCGCAGCTTCCGCCTCAGACCTAAACCAAAGCTCGAAGACTCCACTTAAATAGAAACTCTAACCCCTTCATAAAATAATCAGACAACCCGACCTACATCCGCATACCACATAACAGTCGACCTTTTTAGTGCCTAGGGTACTCTCGCTGGCTGACACTCAGAGCCCAGCTGCAGAATGGGTTTTAAGGGTACCTCCAAACAAAAACCCAAAACCAGAAGTCAAACGCAAAGCTCGTTGTCGGTCAGCACAGACGATTTTGCTGAAATGAGGAGAAGCACGAGAAAAGCATCGTTCCAAAAGCTTCTGGTGGACATTTGGATCCCGGGAAACGGCTGAGAGCTCTTTCCCCATACCTCCCAAACGAATAAGCTTGAGCATTAAGCCCTAAACTCTGTGGTAGAGTGCAAGCCCTAAAGTGTGGAAAGTTAATCAGAATCGAGCATAGGCTTCACCTCTAACCGGCCAAGCGCCACGAAGTTTGGAACGGTCGCATCTCCAAGCTGGAATAAGAAGCGTAGGGGGTAAGACCTCGCATCTCTATGTGAGCAGAGTGCAGTATCATGTGCTATCTATGGATGTGAGATCCGAGAGTATCTATTAGGGTTTTTGGAGCCCCAGAGATGTGAACGCTTCCGTTCCACCAGCGTAAGCGCGCGTCTGCAGGTGAACTTGGCCGGCTACACTCGCATGGGTGGACACTCGGGGGTCTTGAGAGAGGGTCAAGCACTCCAAGCCCGGCTTGAGGATTTCCGGACTGGTTTGGATTTCTCAGGTTCAGGAGCTCGGTGCAGGGGATTTAGCGGCATTTGCAGGGTCTCGATTCCGAGGCTTAAGGAACGCAGGCCGGCGGGGTTTTGAATCCTGGGGGCTTGGGTTCTAAGCCTTACGGGAGGAGGCCAAGCTGATAGTCAAAGACTCCCCCCAAATATTGACCTACAAGATGATCCTAAATCCAAGTACCACGTCATTACATAGCTGCTGTGGACCGTTTGGCTGAGGCTCCGTCATGTTCTGAACCTCCCACACGGTGTCTGCACTTCACTGCCGAGGTTTGAAGGTCTATTGAGGCTTTACCAGGGTACCCCTCAGAAACCTTTACTTAAGGAGACTTCGGATCCGATTCTACAAGTTACTTGTAGGTGGGGGTCTAGCTATGTTTTCAGAGTCTGGGCGTTTTGTAAGGTTTGGGTGTTTTGTTGGTCTTAAGAGCCCATCGTTTTGGAGTTGGGTCGTCAGGTTGCGTTTACCCATCGAAATATGAACCACGAAATAAAAAGAAACTACAATGGAGCCTTGAGGTAGGGTTTGGGATTTTGCGTCCAGGAGGAAGTGCAGGCTTTTGAGGCTTCAGGTCGGGGATAAAGTTCAGATTTTGAGGGTGTAGTGTGAGGATTTACTTGGGTTCTTGTTCAGGAGTTTAACTTAAGCTGCCAAGATAGGGATCTATGGTAGATTGTATGGTTCCCGCACTTATGATGGCAACTTAAACTAAATCCCTTAACGAGAACCCAGTGTAGGGTCGCTTTACGCAGGAACACGAGCCCCGACGGCCCGAAGCACCCTGCCCGAAAGTCCGCATGGTGAGAATAATGTAGGGGCCTAACCAGGACCCTCTGAGGGCCCTTTAATAGAGACCTTGTGGTCCTTAATTATGGGTAGTCTAGGAAATAATTACCAATACTATTTTGGGGGGTCCTTAAAATAGTTATAGTATAGTGGGCCCCAAAACCCTCTTCTAATTATTAAGGTGCCTATAACCTATATTAGCAGCCTTGATCGGTACTGCTACTAGTCTTCAGGATTTCGTCCCATGAATGATGAAGGACAGCCGTCCTCGTCCCCAACTACAGTAGCTGCGCTGTTTGACCGTTCTTAACATCAGTCTTCACTTCATGTGCAAGGAATCCAGCAGCTTCGTGCTGCAGGGTACACCGCCGAGGAGTTGCGCAACGGTGGCTACACAGCCCAGGCGAGGGGCAGCACCCAGCCCGAGCCACCCAAGACCCCCGAAGCCTGAAGCCCTAATATAGGTGCTTTTCATAATTAGTAGAGGATTTTTTTGGGCCCATGATACTATAATTATAGTAAGGAACCCCAAAATAGTATTGGTAATTATTTGGGCCTCTACATGATAAGTCTAGGCCCTGCTGTTGAGTTGTGTTCGCTGGCACACAATCCAAGCCCATGCTGAAAAGGGTTACGCAAGGCTCCTGTAGTGGGGGCGTTCCGAAACCGAAGCCCTCTCATCTCTGCTTGCTTTGTTCTGGTGGGATAGGTAGAGAAAGGCCAAGGTGTTCCAATGTCCGCACGCCTGGCTTTTCAATTTTCAGATCCAGGGGGCCATACAGTCTGGCACCCTATAAACCCAAAATCCTAACGGCCGCTCGAGTCGATTTGGGCTACGGGCTCGGTTTGGCCTTGACCTCGACGCTCAAACCTTGGCACGCCCGAACAATTCACAGACCCACACTCAAAACCAGAAGAAACACTCCAGTCATCCATTGCGACAAAATCGAACGGCCCTACATCAGAGTCATGAAACCCTAAACCCTAGACCCTAAGCTAGCTCTGCATTCACTGGACACTGCCGGCTTTCAGACGAGAAGTTGCTGCAACCTTCAGCGGTGTATTTCTGCCTTGGGTAAAGACGTGACTGTCATGTGCACTTTCAATCCTACGGATTGCCAGGGACAAAAAGCCTGTCCGACTCTATGACAACAAGAAGTCGTAGGGCTGGAACCTGGGAGTCATTTATATACACGTCTAGTTGCCTTGTGTCAGCACACCGGTGGATCTGTTATGCTTTCGACTGTACCCTGCAATGCGGGCTTCGTCCTAGCTAGGTGCAAAATATTTGAAGCCCGAGCCAGGAAGTCAAAAAGGCCGGGTATACCTTTCAGCAGCTGCGTGCTGGTGGCTTCACCGTGGAACAGCTACGCCATGACGGCTTCAAGGCGATTTCTGAAAGTTTTAGAAGCATTTGGGCGGCGTCTTTCGCAGGATTGCCTTCAGTTTTAGGGCCAGGGCTTTGGGATTTAGAATGTCCGATGTTGAGTTTCAGGGTTCTGAGGGTTTTCAGGTTGCGGGCTTTGGATTTGAGGGTTTGTTATGGTTTTGGGGGGCTTGGAAGCTCACGTTGCACTTGAGACTGCAATATGGTTTTGGGGGTTTCTATATATATATATATGTGGAGGGG